GAGAAGAGAGAGAGAGAGAGAGAGAGAGAGAGAGAAAGAAAGAGAGAGAGAGAGAAAGAAGAGAGAGAGAGAAAGAAAGAGAGAGAGAGAGTACCCGTGTATGCATGAAGAAATGAGGTTTGACCGAAACCAATAAAATATATTTGAATAACCGATTGCGCGGCCTTGATGTAAATTGCCGGTTACAAGAGACGTCTGTGCATGCGTGAACTCGCTGTCGCCGAGTTCCTCCGTAGACTGTGCCACACCCTTAAGTTCATATGCTTTTTGACAGTTACATTCACAATGATCGAGAAATTACATTCCGTATGTCTTGAGCAGATATTTTTAAAAAAACAAAAACAAAACATTTCTCTTTGGTGTTTCAGCCACTTATCAACCCATACTTTAAAGTGTAGCTTTGGCTCCTTGCGAAATTCCCGTTGAAACATTGTACACTTAAGATTCTGATGAAACATTTGATAACAATCCTAAAAGACCTAGTTTGGAAAATGTTTAATTTATCACGCAGAGTACCCAGACGAAAATTAAATAAACCGATTAAAACTGCAAACCAAATTTAACACCTTGTGCATCCCAAATTTTGTCAGCTCATTTCTATAGGTGTCACTGGTACCATATAACTCAAAACTACCTTCCACTTGATTGTGTTATCGGTGATTCAGTTGTTTTCCAACCAAGTTTTTCTGGAGAGGAGGGTAGCAAGAAACCCGTCAAAAGGGTGGATGGACCTTCTTGTACGGTGAAGAGCCGTCTAGCATAGTTGGGTAGATTGCGTTCCATTGCTATGTATGCATCGAGTATGGTGATGATACTACACGGTGAGGAGGAGGGTTTCATCGGCTAAAATCGTCGGACGGGGCCGTTGACTTCTGACGGAATGAAGGCGAACCTTCAAAATGGATTCTATTGGCCGTTGTTTAACCTGGAAAGGGATGATCGCTCCCAGCTTTACCTGACGCAGATACGCTATGCATGAATCAATAGATTTCAAGCCACATATGTCGAAGGAAATGATCAAGTGCACAGCGATATGATCAGTCATGGGCTTGACGATGATGAAGTATTCGCAGAGGTATTTTAAAGGCTAGGATGTTTGGCATGAAACAAAACTGTCAACGGCTTGCAAAACTGACAAAATTCGAATGGTTAATATTAATCTCCAGCCGGATTAACATTTTCCAATGAGACGAAGTGATAAGATCATATTGAATCAATTGCTAGGACTTCTAGGATTCACTGTGTCGTACTAAATCTTCCTCGCCAGAATCCATCTTGCACATTTATAAATCTACCATTAAATCGCAAATTGATAGTTGTATTGAACGGCCATTCTAGATACTTTTTTTCATTAATGTGGGTGTCCTTCAAATTTTTATTCTTGGACCAACGTTGTTCCTAATTTTTATCAACGACCTTCCCATGTCATCAGTTCTCAACTCTGTATCTATGCTGATGACAAGTATTTACTTCTGTTTTGACAAGTTTGGTTGGTTCAATGAGGTCAAATTGGCGGCTAATCTCGACTATTGCCTTCAGTTTTAATTTTAACGCCTACAAAACGAATCTGCTCTCCTTTAGGCGTCTAAGAGATTCGTTTTTTTCGCCGCCCAACTGCCTATGGCCGAGGTTAATCTCGGAACAATTGATTACCCCCTTCTCTGTTAAAACTTTTCTACCGACAGGATGTGGAACGATTATATTGAATCAACTGCTAGGTCTGCTATGTATGTAGAATATCTTGACAACTCTAAACGAAGAATCTGCAATGTTATCGGTACTGACCTGGCATCTTGGTTTCAGTTAATTTCTCACCACCGTAACGTAACTTCCCTAAATCTTTTCTATAAATAATTTCATGGTAATTGTTCTGAAGCGTTTTCCTCTTCGGTACGTCGGTGTCATTATTTCACTGTCGGGATTATTAGATGTAAACCGCAAGTTCTATGCTAATAATTTCTTATTTCGCACTTCATGTTATCCTGTCAATTACGATATTAAAAAAAGTTTAATAAAATATCAATAGTCATTTTCTGTCTCCCTGAATCTTTGTCATTTATAGTCCTCTATCTCACCCACCTCAATAAAGTTTACTCAGTTTATTTCTCTCAAGATTTACTTGACCAGCATCCACTGAGTCAGGTTGTGACAAGGTCGAATTTTTAACGTGGGGACCCGAGTGTTTTCACTCGGGCCGCTAATCTAAGCTTGTCTAGGCTGGTCATTACGTAACAGATGCCAGGCAAAAGTTGCTGAGGCCCCCCCTCAGCAACTTTTGATAAGGCCTCCAGCACAGAACAGATACTACAACCGCAAGATCTACTCCGGCGGGAAGAAACCCAACTCCGCCAATTCCTCCGGAAGAATACGGGAGGAAAGCCTCCGGTTTATTTTGCTCTCATTAACCTCTTACGTCGTAGAGGTTTTATCGCCTTGCTTGAGGTGAAATGTTTTAAATAATAAGGAACTCTATACAGCTATGCTACGAGCTGTATTGCTCACACGCTAGAATTGTTTCACATAGCATAAAACAGTGAGTGTGTGCAAAGTTAGTGGATGGAAAATGTGAGAGTCTGAAAGAAAACGAATCGACCAACCAAACGAGTATTGTTAGCAGTAACAAGTAACTTCAAACAAAATCAACTCAGTTGTATTATTAATTCAATGAATCCGTTTGATTTCAGACTCGTAATGGTTTTCTGGCTTCAGAAGAGAGATGGGGCTATGGGTAAGAGCGGGAAAATAGTGCAGCCAAATGCCTTTGTGCATAAACATGACCGGAGAATAGGGTGCACCTTAGAAAAAGTACAAAAATAATGAATTTTACATCAACCTTTATATATATATATATATATATATATATATATATATATATATACACATACAACACTTTATATATCAAGAACAATTTTAGGAAATTCTATAACAAAGTGAGAAAATTGTTTTTTGCATGTGTTATATATATATATATATATATATATATATATATATATATATATATATATATATATATATATATATATATATATTAGTAGGAATAATCTTATAAGAAATTATACTCGTCCGAAAACCTTCGGTGTCTTGATTTGCGAATAATGAAACCAATACCAAAGTGGGGAAAAAAATGTATAAAAGAAAAAAAAAAACATGTACGTCAGCCGAAAATAATCGTCTAGCATCCAAGTCCAAAGAAAAAAAACCCGATACGAGTAAGCAAAATAACTAAATAAAGTGCTCAATACCCTAAGTAGAGATATATATATATATATATATATATATATATATATATATTTCAGTTTTAAAAAGTTAATTTATGTCCGCTTGGGCAACTAATAAACAATGATTTCATATCTTAGAGCTGGCCCTTCGAGTCTAGCGTAATTCTCGACACGTAGCAGAAAATAGTCACGTTGACTTGTACCAACCCCCATGATGTAACGTAACGATTATCAACCTCGTCTCGTAAACCAATCTGCTAGCGAGTTCGATTCTCGCCAGGTGTCTGAGTATGGTGGACTTATCAATTTAAAACTAAGCTTAGCATATAATACATTTGCACACATCCACAAATGACGCTCAAAAGGCAATACATGCTATTTTACTGGTGCACGCCGATAGATGTTAACGGTATAACATTAATTGAAGCTCTACCAACAGTCCATTATTTTTTACTAGATGACTGACAGTTTGGCAAAATGGCGTCTGATATGAAAGTGTTTTAAAAAAAAAAACAACAAAAAACAAACGTTATCAAATTTCGCTATGTGGATTAATTACACCCATCGAAAGTCAATGTTTGCCGGAATTTTATGAATAATAGAGGGCGTGGGCACTGTTAAGCGGTGACTAATGCGTTACGGCAGAAACTACAACCAAGTCCTGGTCGTCTTTAACGAAAGGAGACTAGGAACACTTATGCTTCATCGGCGAAAGGTCGTATCTAGTGGAGAGGGGAGGTTAATGTGAGAAAAAGCGTTTCGTCGCTGAACACTTTCTTTATACAACGGTGGTGGTGATGGGTTTTCAAGGAGGGGGAAAAAGAAGCTTTACTCTCGGAGTCTCCCTCCTTATTGTGTGTATTTAACAGGAATAACAGAGGCCAGGGTTACAATCCATTTTTGTAAAGAAGCTAAAAGAACTTAAGTTTTCACATTAACCTTGCATCTCATATGTGGAAGCCAAAAAGAGAATCCTAACGTATATTGTGGCACCATGCATCCTGACGATTTGAAAGAAATATTCATAGATATATGATTTGTTTTTTACGGTTTATCAACCATTTAATAATTATTTAAGGCCGAAAAATATTTTAGGTTTTAAGAATAATTCTTTCTTTACATTCAAGCGAATTGGGAGAAAGAAAGAGAAAACGAAGAAGAAAGAAAAAATAATACGAAAACGGGTCATAGGCGAGCACACACACACACGGCTAGAATTGATAGGTAGCAGTTGTCGAAAATATCTAGGTCACCTACGAACAAGCATTTGACCGATTTCCGCGTGTCCACGAAAAATGGAATTTTGTTATCAATTGGAAGTGTATCTAAGGATATGAAGACAAACCATTAATACGAAAACACAGACCACCGGCCAAAGGAAAAAAAAAAAAAAGCTCGAAC